ATGCTTGCTTTAAGGAACGAGTAGTTCAAGAATGTCAATCAAATTCTGAGATTAGACTTGAACCACACGTGGACCGGAAGTCATCCAAGATGGCGGAATTACACGTGGACCGGAAGTCATCCAAGATGGCGGGCTTTCAAGGGATTGTGGGAACTGTATGATGCAACCGCCAACATCAACGCTGAATTACAAAGAATCAAGTTAAAACCTTTCAATTCTATCACAAAAAGGAATTATAAAACTAGATTAACACTCACAAACTCTGACAAACGTCCTCTAAGCGCCTCTAGACTGCAATCTCCCTAGCAGCTCTCCCTGGACGCCAATAACATCTCTGGCCAAATGGCTAAATATACACGTGTCACTGTCTGTTTCAGCCACAAACAGTGTGAAATAATCCAATAAACTCCGTCCGTCACTTGGTTAAACTCTATCCTCCTTTTGAGAGTTCAACACTCCTTGAATTGACATCAATTCCACCAGGAAAATCACAATCTTCCATCAACTTCTTGAGCCAGCTTCTGTAAATGACACTACAGGTCCTTACACTTCAACTACTCCAGCCAGACTAACATCAGGTGTTCAGATCATGTGCTATCTCAACCCACTAATGAGATGCATAAGGAAGCGATCTGATTGGCTATAGCGGTCTGAGCTGGTGTGTTTACTCCATTTGGTGATGCATTGTGGGAAATCACTATGACAATGTCAATCACAGATCCTTTAATTGCCGATGACTCATAACCATGTGGCCTATTTCTCCTACAGGTTGACCAATTCTAGGACAAGGGTTCCTGCACAAGCAAAGAGTAAGGTTACTCTTACTCTTACTCCCAGCTTACTCCTAAGTTACTCTTTGAGATTTGCACTTACTCTTAGTTTACTCCTTAACTTACTAGCAGCACATGAAGTGTTAATTATGAATAAAAATGGCCTTAAAAATAACAAAAAGTGGGGAATTTCTAAATTTCCCACAGTATCATGGTATCTTTGTTTTGAATTGTGGTAACGATTGCTCAATGTTTGTGGAGTGGTAAATGAGTGTATGACATTTTTGATTATCGATCATGGTTTGAGTAATCTGGGGCTTGTTTTCTATATGACTGGTGGTGCTGATACATTTAGATTTTTTCTCTCTATATTTTGTAATACTCTTCTCCTCTTTGGTCTCTCCTCTTGCACTTGTATCCAGATGTGTTACCATTTGTGAAGGGGTGCCTGACAATTAAGCAATCATAATAAGTGATTTGTTATTCGCTTGTTCCATTGTATGCTATAGAGCTCCACGCACTACAACTCATGAAACCGATGAATAGTCTCATGAACCATCACGGGTTGTCAGCCTTATAATAACACTATATTCTATATATATTCCTATAAAGTGGGAACACCTCTGTTAGTGGAACAGTTTTCAGAGTCCAAAGAACAGTTGACTTAAATGGAACACCTTGCAAGTGGAACACTTTTTAGAGGTGCCAAAGGTGTTCTACTTCGACCGATTTTTCTGTACATGGTAAAAATTGTGGAAATTGAAACGTTCTTTGGAACACAATAAGTTGTTCTAGATACAGAGATTCAAAATGTGTCAAAAGACTAAAAAGATATATTTTTGATATGTTTCGCTTCCAGAGGTGTTTTTGTTGTTTTTTTCATTGAGAGGGAGGGAGGGGACCTTGAAATGACCTAGCGCAGATCTTGGGGTTCTATTTGCTGAAAGAAGATAAGCATAGTGCATATGTTTTAGTATTTATTTTCTATCTGATAATAAAATACATGGCTTAATATTTTTCTACTATATTTGGTCTCGTTTTAAAACATCCACTGTGATATTTTACTAAGACTTCCAGAGGTGTTCCACTTGAGATGTCAAGTGTAATTTTTGTAATGAACATTCTACCGTATGATCTAATGGTTGGGGTGTCACAAAATGTAGACATTCAGATTCCCATTTTCAGCTAATTAGCCCCAGGGTAATTGTTCAGAGTAGTATATTTAGGACTGATCCAGCTGTTCAATTTGATATAAAATAAATAACACTTCAAAAATTATGGGGGAGGAAATGCCTCTTAAGGCAGAATCCATTAAAATGAAATTGTGACATTGCACCCTAATTTATCATAAAAGTCAGAAAGTCGCAAAGAGTGCATATTTATTAGGTAATTTCTCATTCCAGCTCGACAGAACTACTTTGAAATTGCACCATCTTTACAAACAACATATAGCAACGCTTATGCCTCATTACACAGCATTTTGATACCATATAAAGTGATACTAAAGTTCTCCTCTAAAGCAATCTTATATCACAATATTTGCTTTCTAAGCATTAGAAGCCATATTCTTGCATGGTTGTGTAGCATTTGTTCAACTTTGATTAAAAAAGAAATTAATTTGAATTATTTAGTATCACATGTATTGTTCTTCTCCCAGGATGATTCACACTGATAGATTGTTCGAGATTTCCGTTCATGATTGGCACTCGTGATATGGAATCCTACAACTTAAGTATGCGGGCAGGTGAATTGTTCTCGTTAGATCACTGATGATTTTGTATTTCAACATGAAATATGGCATAGTTAAAGAAAAATTACAATTATGTTACTATAACACAAAGGGTAAGCTTAAAAATGCTGTTGAATTTACCGATCAAAAGTGGGCAAAATGGATATGAGGAAATTAGCATATTAGCCAATATATTTTATTCCATAAAACAATACTGAGAATATGTAAGCTCCGGAGGGAGTAGGCAATAGTCCAAAGGTGCAGTAGAAAATTTTATTAGAAAAAGAAACATACCGTATTCTCTCAAATGAGCGCACAGTTCCAATGAATGCTAATGCAACTTTTATGTTGGATATGGTCTCAAGAAAACACTTTTAATGCATTAGTTTCGACTATTTACCCAATAAGGTATCAATATCTTACCCTTTTGAATTTCAATTTGGAAACTGCACTGTGCGCTCATTAGAGAGAATATGGTATATGATATTAACAAACCTATTGGAGTCTCAACCCAAAGGACCATCAATAATCCATAGGCACACCAGTTAAAGATAAGTGTGTAATTTAGTCATGAAGGGGGTGTTGTGTAAATTACATCAATACAATAAAATTATACAGTACTCACTGAATGTATTAGTACTATCAAGGGCTGATGCTTTTAGCATATCATCATCTCTAAACAAATAGAAATGGAAACAATTAGTTCAATTTTTTCGCCTTGTGTGTGATATTCACTTCTGAGTACATGGCACGACATTATATGCACATTCTCACAATGATTTGATAGGGTATTGTTGGAGATTTGTATCATGTCTTTGAATATGAAGTGATTATTGTGAAAATCTTAATTATGTAAAAGAAAAATATCGGAATACACCAGTCATAAGAAAAACAAACCCCAACTATCCCTAACCATGATCTAGCGTAAAAAGAAACAATGTCTTATATCCCTTCTCCCACCATTTGAGTACCAATTATCACAATCGGAGAACATAACACCAAGGGACATTTTATTCATATGGAGAATAAATACATTGATAACCAGTACTCATAACATAAAAATAGTTTTAGATACTAGTATTCATTCATACACGAGCACTAATAGAGCATTCACTCGAAAATGAAAAGGGGAATATATTGTCTTCTGATTTTGGATTGCAATTACGACAATGGTTTTGTGAGTTAGAGTTTAAGTGAATTCAAATTTTTTTTAAATTTTTTTTATTTATTTTTTTTTGGTGAATTAATATGACGTAATATTGTTTTTATTAAATTGTTTTGTAGCGGTTCAGTTCAGTTTTTATACAGTTGAAAAAGGATCCAGACAGGATACCAAACATACTGTTTAGTAAAATAAAGGTTGTGAAAAGAAGAAAAAATATTTTTGTGAGTTAATTCATTGTTGAGTCCAGTTGTGTTCTTTTTAGTATAAGAATAAAAAACAAAAATATCATGTTACTTTAATGAATTGATTTATATTATTATGTAATAATTCATTAGACAAAGTAGGTGTTCATAACTATGCTGAACATCTCCATGGAACTGACACCCAAAGTGAATTAGCACTATAATAAGTAGTCAGGCCCGTAGCCAGGATTTGCCAAGCGGGGATTCAGTTTTCAAAAATTTCCAGGGGGTTTCATATTTGACAATTTTGGCCCAAATATGGCTAAATCACTTGAGAAGTGCTCAAAATGGTGAAAAACTGCATGATTTTGAAAGAATTTTTGGCCAGGGGGGGGGGGTTCGTCCGAACCCTGCGAACCCCCCCCCCCCTGGCTACGGGCCTGGTAGTTCTCATTAATCCGAATTAGGTAGCATGATAAAAGCCATTACTTGAACACTACAGCATCTCAGATATTGTTATGTCAGTATTTTCTATTTTATATGTAATTATTTTATGGGGATGAAGAACAATGTTGAGATACAAGTCAAGATAACTTGCTAAGGATAGACTGTTCCATGAATTATAGATTCTTAATGTATTTATTTTACAGGATATAGTTTAATTATGCAGTTTATTAGATTTATGGGTAAAGGAGCATGACCTTGCAATTCCTAATTGTTAAACTGATATTAATGTCTCTAAATATTTAATGAATAATTAGGACATAAGTTAATATTTTGTCAGTTGTATTTCTAGTGAATGCACTTTATTGTTCATTGTCTATGAATCCTTTAATTAATATTATGTCATGGATACTTATTAGTGTAGTTATTTATCATTTATATCATATTATTTATTTATTTTTTTTATTATTTTAGAGAAGAAAATAACATGTTAAAGCAATTGCAAAAACCATTACAATAAAAACAATAAAAATACAGTTACATGTTAAACGTACATTTTACAATACAGTATTGGTTACACGTTAGTGTTTAAGAATTTTATACCTTTGGCAATGTATCATTAATTTAATGGATACTTGAATATACAACTATATGTAACTAGTACTATATGTAACTTAAGTTTTTAATAAATTTTTTTCATGTGCTTCCAGATGAAGATAACTCCAGTTCCTTTACTGCTGTGTTTCTCTTCCTACTTCACCATCACATATCAAGTCGATCCAAGTAAGTCAGTCATTGTACATACATGCCTCATAAATTATAAATTTGGTAGTCTTGCATTGAGCCTCTGTTTTCCCCCACTTTTATAATTGATATCTACTCGGGGAGAATCGGAAGCTTGATGTACGAGGGGTGATCCAAAAGTCTTGGACGCCCTGCTCTTATTTAGTTGGTTTTTGATAAAATTACTTTAAACTTTCCAATAATAAAGACCAACAACCTAACTATTTTGTGTAATAATTTCATGGAGAAATGATATATTTTGTATAGTTTTCTAGATAGTTTTTAATATAGGGACCCTGCCACCCGGAACGGTATTCACACATGACAACGTTCAGCCTTAAAAGTTGCTGCCATTTGGCTTGTTTCGCAAATCTTGAACACTATCTTTCTTTGAATTTTGAATGTTAAACCATGAAAGTTTACTTCCTTTGTTACTAGGCAACCAACTAATTGTGTTTTAATCATGATGTAACATATGACAATGGCCATATATGTCAAATTCCAAGAATATGACATCACCTCATTCTGGTATCATTTTTGCTCCAAGATGGCTGCTGAAATGCAGAACATGAAAGAAATCAAAATGGAACAAAGAATACTACAAGATATTCTCACGATTATTGACCTTTAGCAGCTACCATATGCACGACACAGTCTGGATATGGCTCTGTGTGATTTTCTTCCTTTTCTCTAAGTTGAAAGGAGGGTTGAAAGAAAATGTTTTTTAACTCATTGGATGAGGTTTAGAGTGGCACTCCAGCAGCATTTGTATCACATAAGGAACAGGAATGGCGGTTTCATAAATGTATTCCATTCATTGGTAAAGCGGTATGAAAGATGTGTTCAAATTTGTGGAAAACCTGTTTAAAAGTAGGTCTAAATGTGTGAAGATGATGATGGTAGATGACACTCAGATTGAAAATCGGAAATTCTCTCATATCATGACTGGTGTTAGGTTGTGCACCTGCACCTAAAGTATTTGCCATATTATAACAGTTGTGATGTACATGTAATTTGCTATGTTTAAATACCGTTCCGGGTGGGAGGGTCCCAGTGTTAAAAAATGTTTACCAAAAAGCTAAAATGTATTATTTTGTGTTGAAACGTATACACAACGTTGTTAAGATGTTGATCTTTATTATCTGAAAGTTTCATGCAATTATATTTGAAAATAGCAAAGTTAGAGCGGGGCGTCAAAGACTTTTGGATCACCCCTCGTAAGTCAAACATTGTAAATTTTCACATGCCTTGTAATATTAGAGAGGTTTTGCACAACATGTTATTGTTAAAACGTATCCTCATCATATTATCCTCACCACAGCTCATTTTAAATGAACTGCTACGCATACCGGTAAATCTGGTGAATGTATTACAAATTTTCTAGATATGTTGAGCTGAAAATGTTGTGCGAAACGTCTCTATTGATAGTCATGCATCTAGCTCACGTTTTGCCCTCTTCCTTCTCCTTTAGGTACCCTCCTTAAAAGTCTTTGGGAAATTGTTAATGTTGGGGTAGGACCAGAGGTTTGATGCAAAACTAATACATTGGTCATGATTCTCAGTTTCTATTGTTTGTTCATGTTGAATTCATTCTTATATTTTAATAAAATCAGTGAAAGGTTGAGGATGAAATATGTTTGTCATTCTTTCATCGTTTTGTCTTGAGAAACTGAGGAGTTATGACAAACATGGATGTTTATTACATAAAATAAAAAGGCAAGATACAGTCTCAACATTTGGATATTACTAGAAATACTGTTGATGGCTTTGAGCAAGATGCTAACAGTTCTACTAAAGATATTCCATCAATTGAAACTGCATCATGCATTATCATGCATCAAATCCCCCCCCCCACTTCTTTTCCAAACCATTTTGTAGAAGTGTGTTTTGAATGGGGAATGTACAAGGCATTGGTGCATGACTAAATCTAGTTCATCCTATCTATAAGTAAAAATGCATCTTACGTGGGATGAATCTAGTATACATGTATTGTATTTACAACAATGGCCAAACCATTTTTACAACACCCAAATATTTATCTACAAGACATAAGCTAAAAATCAAGTAATGGAATATCATCATAATGTTAAATGCTTCATTATTCAAAAATCCTTCAACCACCCCCCCCCCCTCCCCCCAATAAAGAGAATAGAATGATACATAAATCCTGACATAACTGAATATCAATAATGACCATGACACAATAGGTTAACTACCATAGAATATCAAGAAATAATGCCAAACATGTTAGCCAAGTCGTGGAAGTTGAAAAATTAATTAATTGACATTTCAGTTAATGTGATCACCATGGCTTGAGTCAATCCTGTTTTAAGCCCTAATACCAATCAGCTAGCAATAATGTGTTAATTAGAATTACAGTCTGAGACAGTAAAAGGATCAAAACTAAAAGCAATCACAGGACCACACTGCAATATTATTTGAAAAATCCATTCATATTTTATATTTTATTAGATGCAAAACATGGTCTATCTTGGATTGTTTCTAGCTTGGCTAACAAAGGTATGCCTCTTGTATTTTGATGCTTTAATCTTCAAAGAATTATATCCTAAGAGACCTTACCACCCACCCTAGTTTCCTGTATTGTTCTGTGATCTAGTTTCGAGTCACTTTGACTTCAGACAAAATATTTGATATTTGAAAATTGTAATAGCCCCAAAAGTTAACATCATTAGTCTTGATCATTTGAATTTGATTGCCTACACAGTCAGGCGAGACATAATACAATTGAATAGTATGAGAGTCAGATATATTGACATTAATGTAGACTCACGAGTATCAGATATGAATGCTGTCCTTATGCAGTAGAACCTGTCTAAATGGAATACCTTTGGTACCTCTAATAAGTGTTCCACTTGGAAGGTGGTCCACTTATTAGAGGTTCATTTAATATTAAGTCAATTAGTCTTGGAACTCTGAAAAGTGTTCTACTAGTCATATAGTCACACTTTGCAGATATTAGAATCCTATATTGACAGATCTTTATGTAATCTTTCCAAATAAAAGTTTTTTTGTCACCTACCAATTGCCAGTTTACTGAACAGAATTTTAGAAATCAGTCATCTGACATTATGTAAGTGTGATCTAACCATTTGGTTATTGGACAAGATCAGAGTCTAGATGGCTGTCAATTTGTCTTTCTTTGGCTTAGCATATGTAGCATGATGGCCCCATCAACATTCATCAGCTGACTGATGTGTTTTGGGATGGTCTCTGACCTGTTTGGCTAATTTAGTTTGAATGTATTTCTGGTGCATATAAGACATACAGATACCACTTGCTCATCAAAAATCGTGTCATGGTAACGAAGTTAATGTGAGTCCTTTGTGAGGATAAAATACATAATATGATACATAATATGATGGTCAAGATCCCAAGACTTATGTGGGTCTCTGACATTTACATTGAGAAAGCCCAATGTGAGGAACACAATACAGTAAAACCTGCATACAGTGAACAACCATGGAGCCACAAAAATGTTTCCTGAAGGGAATGAACTGTATGTGTTCATTACAGAGAGGGTAATGAATACAGAAGTCAGTAGAGTATGTGCGGAGGAAGGGTGGTCACGAGAGACAAGTATTCATTAGAGAGAGGTGTTCACTAAGACATGTTTTACTGTATAAAAGATTGACATTCAGTCTTGGTAGATGTTCACTACAGAGAGGGTAATTTATACAGAAGTCAGTAGACTATGTGTGGAGGAGGTGACCACTAGAGACAGGTGTTCACTAAAGAGAGGTGTTCACTAGACAGGTTTTATTGTATATTTATATACCAATACTCAATACAAAAACAGCTATCAATCTGTAGAACATATGGCTGCCAAATTATGATTAACAATGAGGAAGTAAATTAGCAAAAGCCATTTGAATGTATAGAAAGGGGAAATAAAGATGACCACTGAGAGGTATTTTAATAATCACCTCCTCATTTGTATACATATAGTGGCAGGGATGCCAAAACATCATCTATCTTGAATTCAAGACTTCCTTTTTAATTCTCTTTTGTCCAATAGGACCTACTGATTTATTCCCGAGCCATTTGAGTTAATCTCTCTGGCATATATGTTTAGTAGTTAAGTTTGAATAATCCTTCAGTTCTAATGAGAAAGCAAGTCTATAAATGAAAGGCACAAAACTCCAAAGACTTAAAGTCTAACACAAAGCTTGATTGGTCCATCAGTATTATGACCCCAAGTACCTGTGTTAATTTAAAAAAAAAACATGTATTTAATAAGAAATAATAATGTCCATGTATTGAATTCAATTCATTTAATTATGATTGATATCCTTATGCAATGTATAACATAGCCTTGCCCAAGTCGGTATTTTTTTACTTATCTGATCTTGAATTATTACCGGCGGTCATAATAGAAATCAAGATAAGTAAAAGAGACCGACTTGGGCAAGGCTATGTATAATAATATAATATGTCTTGAACTTTGGTGGCTTGAAATGTTATTGGACTGAAAGCTCTTCAAAATACTTGCCAAGTAAGAAAAGGAACAGAGGAAAAAATCCCCAGTATCCCCCAAGATTATCATGATACAAAGAAATAGTGAAATAGAAACACTTTCCCCTTCTCATTTTAAACTCTAAAACCTGACCATGGAACATTTAGTTGCAATTCATTATGTTTTCTATCTAAAAATCCACCAAAAATGGTTTGCCTCCTTTTGATTATTGTTGTAATATCAAAAATCAATGAATGTTTTACCATGCTTTAATAAAGATGTCAGAGTGAACAGTGGTCACAATACTTGTTGTTTCTGAATCATGTAACTACATCAACCTGGCTGGTACACTGTACCTTGCTTTTGAAATATGTGAAGAGACATCCAAAAAGTATATATGTCTCTGATATATGGTTGACATTGATTAGATAAACTTTCCTTGATGAGTTTTTTGAGAAACTATTTTTCATCTCAACAGCTTTTTTTAAATAATTACATTTTGATTACTTTCAGGTGGCTAATTATTTATTTATATTTATTTAGATTGATTGGCATTAGGCATGTGATTTACCATTATCAGCTGTCATTAATTTGTTGCTTTTTGATTAATTGAATTATCTGTTTTATTATAGAACACAGCACAGATAATTGTATTGCTTTCGAAAGCACATATCATTTAAGTGGAGGTAATTTAACAATAAAAATGTTTTTAGAGTATACCTATCAAATAATCTAATTCAAAGAAATAATATATTCATATAGATATTATGTACTTTATTTTAACATGAGTAATCATTTTTAAATATAGATGTCTCAGTATGTTATTTGATTTTTTCTATCAATATTTTTATCTGTTCTGTAAATAGATGTCACTAAGATACTCCTATTTCATGTTTACACTTCCCCCTAACAAGAATTGTTTATCCCGTAATATAATTTAAAATTTGTGTAACATATAGCACATACCCAAACAAAATAATTTGGCTCACATTGTTGTGTTTCCATCAACAAATTTCACACAAATGAAAACTGCCATTTTTACGAACTAATGCTCATATCCATTTTATTGGAATCGATACTGGCAATTTATACCATTGGTCCTAGCCTCTAAATTTTGCCTCATTTTAGAGAAATTGGCTTTTTGTCAATAAAAGACTCTGTATATTTATCGTGTTTCCATGTATTATATTGTTTTTAAATGTGACAGCATGTAATAATTTTGAAGAATTTCAAAAAGAATAGTTTCATGAATGCCAAATTGTAGATAAAAAATTAGCCTAGAAATTGCCACCAAAATAATGATGCCATATTTGACATGGCAGACCTGCGACTGATTTATCAAACTAACATATAAACCATACATACATTGACTAATTTCATTATCTTATAACTGTATATACCTACACACATCACATCATTTAGAAAGGTCACACTTTCTCTCAATAAATCATGAGAATTCCTAAAGGGAAGACAGTATTATATTACATTGATTATACTACCCTTGCGGGGCGATTAACCACACATTACTTTCATTGAAAAACCTCTCATTACTAGCTGTAAACACTAGTCTAATAACGATTTATAAATAGATAAAAATTAAAAATTTAACACTGAAGGGACTTGTTATTTTACTCCTTATATCTGTATGAATGAAGGTATTATGATCTAAATGGAAGGGAGCCAATTAGGAGATGAAGTGGTGCTTATAAAATACATAGCCTCTAATATGTAGAGTATCTTATCCAATTTCAAAAGTTGTGAGCATACTTGTCCTTTCAAAAGATTTCTAGCTCACAATATATCATCTGTCATTCTGAAAGAAATTCTCTAAAGAATGGTGTTTTGTATACTATTATACCATTGTTCATACCAAGTGATCATCAACACATCCCATTCCCAAACTTCTCGTTTTCATTGCACTTATAAAGCTGAATTTTGTGTAGGAGTTTAGTGTGCTTGAAAAAACCACATCCAGATTCAATTTCCTTCTTTATAATGAATTCATTTGCTAAATCGACAACATCATTGTAACTGCACATTCTAAAACTCAGGAGATATATCTTATTTTGCACACGTCACTTGTAGTAACACCACACATCAGAAAAATGTTGAAAAAACATCGACAGTAATTAAGTTTAAATAGAGCTTTGATTACTCAATTGGATTTCAGGCTGCATCTTCCAATGAGCTAAGGCTCCGTGACGTCTAATGACGAACATAATGACTTTGCCATGTATCATGATCTCCCTGGAAGCTACAACCTTGTGAGAAATGTCACGATCGAAGGTCATATTAAAGATAAAACAATACAAATAAGAAAAGAATTAAACTAATGCACATATGTTAAAGACTCCGAATTATATATATGAAATAAAAAAAATCAGAATTTGACTCAAGTTTTGGAGAAATGGTTGAATATGTATATACTAGGAGGAAATCATTGGTTTGGGAAGTGATTAAACTTAAAGTGCCTTTTGTTGATTTCATTACCTTTATGATTTGTACCCAGGACATGTAGTATTATTCAAATAGAGCCAAGGTGATGGTCTGCTGCCTTCATAAAGATTCCTTGAGGATTAGCTCCACAAAGTAATTTACTAAGCTCGAGTGACGCTCTGACAAATGTTTAACAGCTCAAAATAGTCAGTGGCGATCAAGTTTAGAACTGTAAAACTGAGAGAGGAAATAGTGTAATTAGAAAGAGAAGAAATATATCAGATATAGATTTCAGCACAATGCAAAATGAAAACTGCTAAATGATATTCAAATATATCATTCAAAAATAAAAGAATTAGACTGAGATTTTATCGCAAGGATGACATTAAAGACATGGGGAGTTCTTTATAAAACTTATGCTAAAGTGAAGCTATTCCCCTTTGATTATACATTCAGATGATGCTTTGAAGGCATCACCAATCAAGAAGGCCAACACCAACTGTTTAAGATGCAGCAAAATGTTACTTCATTGAAGAAGTTGGTGAAGAAAAACTGAAAGAGACTAAAAAGAGTCTGAAATTAGTTTAAATTAATAATAATTTCTGATTGGATTGAAAGGAGTTCATGAACCATGACCACAAATGTAATACAGGAAACTGATTTCATCAAAAGCAAAGGCAATTCTTGAACACTAAGGATATTTTTTGGAAGTGAATGAACACTCAAATAAACAAAGTATTGATAGATCTGGAAGCAGATAATTGCAATAATTGGATAAATGTGGATAACAGAATGATTGTCACGTGGATAAACTGTAGTGACATTTGAATTCACAAGAGTATGCTTGAGTAGAAACTCACGGATCTCTGTTAGCACTTCCCCAATTGATGCTTTTAAAGCATTTGTAACACACTGAGAGGGTGTCTACTTCCTGAAAACCATGTGTTCTTTTGATAGTTATTAGTTGGAGAATGGACATGAAAGCTTTTAAATGAAAATACTATGTGGATGATGCATTTCTGAATCATTGAAAGAGATAGAACAAAGTATTTTTGCACTCTGTATACTCTTATTAGTATTTATTATTTTCAAGGCAAGGTGATATCACAAATGGATATTTACTGCCTAAATGAAGATAGACATGTATTCCTTACAGATTGAAATGCTATAGTGATCGTGTTTTCCATATGAATACAGTTGATACAGGAGGGATATGGAAGATTTTGTAGATGTGATACATGATATGACATCTACCTACTCAGGAGTTAATACACAAACATTTTCTCCTTAATGGAGAAATCCTAAGTGTGATATTAAGCAACTTCTGGTATGTTTTCAAAGAAGCAATATAAACCATCATTGATTAGTTAACTACTGAAGTGGGAATTGGATTTTGATGAACACATGTTTTCTGTCCCAAATGTGCTGTTGTTTAGAGATTTCCGCTTCTTGCTGATTTTGTCTTTCTGTTAAAGTAGTATTTTTCTCAATTGAACATGGATTTGGGTGTCTGGATCTAGGTTTGTCACTTTATCATCTCTCATATCTTTCTATCTGTCACATCTGTTCATTAATTGTTAATTTATGAATATATTTGATTTGACATTTGGTTACTAAGTGTATGATACATACACTGTATGCCCTTAATGAAGATTTGATTTTTGATTTTTGCAATCTAGATTTTCTGTATGTGATATGGTATAGCACCTCCATAAAGTATTATTATTTCGAGGTAATTTAAGTTTTACACTTTCCTTTTGTCTATGATATTGTCATTGATTCATTTACATTGTTGCTTCTTCTAGATTATAGTTTATATTGGAGATTGTAATTTTTTATAGAGGTTATGATGTTATTGTCCTCTACTGCCCTTATAATATCCTCTTTTTGAAGTCCATCGATTAACAGACTCTCAAAGGAAATTTGTTAAAAGAAATACTAGGGATGTGTTTTCAGTCATGAGGAAAAAAGCCAAGGATGATTCAAGCATGTCAGTTTAACCATAATAGACTTGGGAGTCTTATGGTTCCTTTTTTTGTTTCCTCCATATCTTTTTTCCAAGTTTCTGATACATTTTAAAATATTGTGTTTATTAAACAAGGAAGGCATGATCACCATAGCAATTCATGAACCTGATGCAATTATGCGACATTTGAAACTAATAGGACTGATAGGATCATTTGGACCTAGATGAAAAAGTTTATTTTCTTCAGATCTTAAATCTGTCTTGGGTAAATACACTCAATTTAAGAGAAAGATATTAAAGGTTTATTAAAAAAAATTGAGCATAAACATTTCTGCAAATATTAAATGAAAAAGTGAAAATACAAAAAGAACTACTTAGAAAAGGCTTTCTCTTATCGACACAGGGGCTGGTCTGGAGGGTCGGGAAAGCCCTCCGATGTGTTTGTACTGATAGTACACACTTATTGGAGGGCTTGCCCAACACTCCAGACAAGCCCCTGTGCTTATCAAAAATGTAAGAAATACATATGAACAGAAAATTCCTCCAAATAGAAGTAAAAAATGAGGGAATAGATACTAAAAATATATATTAAATGTATATGATTATTACTGCTAAAATGAACTAAACCTACATTATCACAGTGGAGTACATTTGAACGTGTTGAGGATAAACTTTTGAAAGTTGTGTTTTGGAACCACATGTACACATGGACTGAACCTTTGTCAAAGTGTCATTGAAAATTTAAAAGAACATCTTAATGTTATTTGAGGATTATCGAAAGCAAAGATGATTTCTATACTGAGGTTGACCCTATCAAAACTATCTCAGGATGACTAATGTCTCTGTAATGCCTCTAAATGATGGTAAGGACACAAGTAAAGCATCCCTGTTTAAAAGATCAACAATTTATGGAAGCAATAATTGAGAGAATATAGCACAATCTGACAATTAATTAAAAGACTTGAGAAAGTTGTATGCTACAAGTCTGTCAAGGAGCTGTAGACAAAATTAATAAACGTCATGTGACCCACAGGGTAACACTTCCACTGCCTTAAAATTCAAAGCTGGGAGCAACACTAAAATATAATTGACAATTAAGAAATTCTTATTTTTAACCAGTGTTGGACCTAAGGAAATAGATGTATCATGGCTGTAATGAACATACTGGATTTCTGCATTCTTTATGGTAAAGTTGCACATAAGATACATATTTTATTTTTATAATTCTATTTAAGATATATATCATGGATGCCAGTTATGCATAATTGATATCATTATTATTAAAGTTGCACTGAATTGAAGCAAACAAAAGGTTAACTCTAATTGAAAACTCTAATTGAAACTCCCTCAGGTCATGTAATATATACATAAAGTCATCACAACTCAAGCCGATAAAAGATTGTGACTTCACTGGGACAAACTCTGGTATTGATAGTTGCCTCACTTGAACAACTGACTTCAAGTTGAGAGTAGCTAAGTTATTATAGAAATTAATGACATCATTAAGATGAACCTATACACTATACAGTGATAATATTCTAACTTGTTCTCACAACTAACTGTTTTGAGAGAAGCTTGGTCAACACATTACATAGAAATCAGTACCAATAATTGTCTCATTAGTTGATCAATTAGTACAACTGACTCTGAGTTGATGGTTTTTTGTTATTTGAATTGATTTTGAGCAGCAGTTAACTCTACTGACCTTTATTAAATTGAATGATTTGAAGAGGATCGGAGGGGAAGGGGGGGGGGGGGTGTTAGACATTATTTCTTTTCATGTTAGTTTTGGGTCTATTTTTCTTATTTTGCTTTCCCTGCTAGGTTTCTTCACAGTTTCTTGTCCTTTACCTCTGGGACTTGTGCTTAGATATTCATAATCTAGGAATAGTGTAATGTTTGCACAAGTACCAAAGATATAAGACTAAAACTTATAAAAGGACAGGCAGCAAGAAAGAAAAAACATAAGACTACTCCAGTCATGAGGAAAATAAACCCCAGCTCATCCAAACCATGATCTATTGGAAAAGAAACCATGTTTAATACCCCCTCCCTACCATTAAACACACTCTGGATAAGTGAACTTGTTTCATTTGCATATTATTTCAAATAGATTTTATCAAATTTTAGTGCGACAAACACATGGGGAAGAACTTGCTGAAAGATTGAGAATTAAAAAGTGAAATGTTTGGAGACTTAATTATGAGTTCATTCAAGTTATTGGCGTTATTTGTATAACTTTGCAAATGGCATATCTTTGTTAAGGTGACACTAACATGGAACCATTTATCATTTAGTTCCTTAATCCCAACTGAGGATATTTATTGAAGCTAAAAGGACTACATGTACATTTAGATCATTGACTCTGGTTTCAGCAAGTATGATTGATAGCTTAAGATGGCTATATTTAGCCGATATTGCAGTGAAACATGCAAGAAGTGAGTGATGTCATACTTTCAGTAATCGATACCGATTTATTTTATTTTCATTGCGAGGTTTTCTGAACAATATTTTAATTATTTATAATGGGGGCCATAAAGGTTGATTGTATTTAAATGAAAATGACTACAGTCATGAAAAGGCAGTCTAAATATACTCTAACCATCACATATACAATGTCTTACATCACCTCTCTTTACCATTCTGAGGTCACCATTACTATCCAAAACCACAGGACTATGGGTTTTTTAGTCACACAAATGTGATAGAATACACATTGATGAGAAGGAAACCAATACAATTAAAGCATTTATTCTGTTCTAGTCTTCATCAAAATCAAAAATCACAGGACTATGGGACATTTGGTCATGCAAAAGTCATTAGAATACACATTGATGAGAAGAAACCAATACAATTAAAGCATTTATTCTTTTGTAGTCTTCATCAAAATCAAAAATCAAAGGACTATGGGACATTTAATTGCACAAATGTAATAGAATACATATTGAAGAGAAGAAATCCAATGCTATTAAAGTATTTATTATTCTTTTGGAGTCATCATCACAATGGAAAACCACAGGACTATGGGACATTTAGCCACACAAAAGTCATAGAATACACATTGGAGAGAAGAAAACCAATGCAATTGGAATATTTATTTTTTGAGTCACCATCATTATCAAAAACCACAGGACTATAGGAATTTAGTCACACAAAAGTCATTAGAATCCACATTGATGAGAAGAAAACCAATACAATTAAAGCATTTATTCCATCAAAAAAAATGGTTGTGTATTCTAGAATTCATACAAGACAGAGTATGCAAAAAAGTTTACAGTTATTTATTTCAATTTCTCTTATTCCAGATGATGAAGACAATTCCTGATGTTTGGAATATCATCAGTCTGTTGAACAATTCTGTCTAATGCCTTAGTCCCAAGAGATTGACAGTATGCCCATCACGTTTCCAATCAGATATTGTTGCTGTTTTTCACTTTTCCATTAATTTATTAAGTAGCTAGTAGGCTAGTAGGATACCATTTGTAACAGTTCTCACATAAGAAATCAAACATACAAACTATATCTCCCTTGTGCGTAACTGTAAGAAATGATTGAAATGCTGCTATTAAATAAGCATACGTTATGTACCTCGCTTAAGTCAATTTAGCTTGTTAATATTAGTTCTTTAGCCTATCAGACTAAGGTTCCTTTTGACATGCAATGTTAGAACCTGTGCTGGTCATTTATTTATACTTCAAACTGAATATTGCAATATTTGAGATTCCTTGTCAGAATTGGTGAATTAAGTGCTTCTTATTGTCATTTCATAATAGGTTTTGGTCTGTTATTCTTAGTCTTCTTCTTAGTCATTGTTAACATCCTCATGTATATACATGTACATGTACATTGTTATGTTTTCTAAACAAATTTTAAAACATATGAGTTACTTAAGCCTCAGCTATATGATGGCTGTAGCTTCTAAAATCAATTTAGAAATCTACATCATAGTGCTAATATTCCTATTTATTCTGCATATTTCTTCAATTTTGGGAATCTTTGGCCGCCATATGGTTGCCATGGATGAAATGCGACTAAGGCATTAGGAGTGATTTAAAACATGAAATCACTTTAGTGGGAGACCCAACATTAGATTTGCATGTAGACAAACTCACATTAACCAAGGACAATGAATGGAGCGCAAAGATAGCAGACCTGAAGCCCATTAGCTCTACCAAGGGAATTGTCCGCATGAATGAAGAACTGAGAAATTGCTACCTTGGTTATGTTAACTAACATTGAACAATGTTATTCATTTCGCTTACCATGGGTCCCATTAGATAATGATGATATATGGACTTACCCTTTGGAACCACTTGAAAAATTCTCAATAAAGAAGATTTAAAAGAATGAGTCCCTGAGATATTGGATGACACCTTAACCAATTTATGATCTAACTACAGTAAATAATTTAATCCTTATAAACTGAACTGAAGAAAGCATTTTAGTTAAAAAACTACATCCTCTAGTCATTCATTTCCAACACCATAGCATACTATATCATACCATACCATACCATACCAAATCATAGATATCATACCATTTTACCACATCATATTATACTATGTGTATGATATAGCATCTCGTATCATATATAAAATCTCATTTACTTTCCATACCATGCCATACACCAAACCATATAGCATGCCATATCATTATACAACTATTGCAGTGGCGTAGCGTCATATACGCATAAAACGCCATAGCGTACTCTCAACGTTTAGAGAAAAGTGAATTTTTGATATTGAAATGACCCACGTTTAATATTCTGAAGTAATGGCCTAACATTTTATTAATCCATATTATTTTTTCGTAGTCGGAATTTCGTATTCTAAAACGCCCCAGAACGCTTCAAATGCAATCTAATTTTTTCAAATTTTCTTGGGGGAAAGAACCCCCCCTCATAGCTCGTTCGCTTCGCTCACTCGTGGCGTACACTCATAAAATACCCACGCTACGCCACTGTATTGCATCCATCATACAATTCCATAGTATACATTATGATGTACATTATACATTATTTACAGCAACATTCTGGATCTAAATTCCTTTACTACACCAAAATGTTCCATACATTGGAATTGGTGGATACTAAAAGGCCACTAGATGTAAATCAGATAATTCCTAATATGATAGAATGATTAATGTGAAGGTTACATAATTAGACAAAGTCTTGAGATTGCTTCTTAATCTTTGAGAAATTGTCCTCTTAGTTGCTATGCCTTTAGTAAAAATATTCCCCTTTCTTGCTTCTACATGAAGGTATAATATGAATGAATATATAATAATGAATAACATATTTCCCAAAATCCTAAAAACACATAACAGTTAAACAGTTAAAGTAAGAATGTTAAATGACTGTCCTCATAATATGTACATGTATATATTTTTTTTATATTGTATTTCTTTATTTCAAATTATTACAATAAACACAAATACATTAGCGGCTTTGTAAGGTACATTTTAAGCCACTTTTATCTTCAATTAGAACTAGACAGTGACAGCGAAAATCATACATAAAAATACATATAATTTTATACTACATATTGAATTTTGAAAAGTTGAAACCAATTAGTAATCATTGTCAAAAGTATGACACACAGTTTTTTTTGGACCAGAGATGGTATTTAAATGTGAGTTAGCATTTTGAGTCAATATCATTTAATCTTTTGACTCTCATGCACTAAAATGTTCTAAAACCAATTATTTTTTTTCATTTTTGTCGGTTTTTACCTATTTACATTTAACTACATAGACACAGCATATACTGTATGTCATACTTAATTTGGAGATAGTACTGATCAATTTCTTCACATTTTAAAATTAATTTGTGTAGATTGGATGAAAATTGTCAAAAGAGCAATATTAGCAAACATTTCTTAAACAGGTTCTATCATCCCTCCAGGTCTCAGTGTCAGTTCTTTTGTCACTCTAATAAGTACTCAAAAGGTTAAACATAAATTGAAATAAAATGATTTAATGTTTCTGTTTCAGCATGTGAGTGCGTAGTGTACCAGAGCTATGGCAAAACAACGGGGACATTTACGTCACCGAACAATCCCCAGGCATACCCTCCAGAGCTCAACTGTATTCTCTACACATTTATCGGGGACATAAATGAAATAGTTGAACTCACATTCTATGAATTTGACCTGCAAATGCCTGATTCAAAACAGAGGTGAGATTTGTAGACTTCTTTTCATTGAATATATAAACAAGTGCCAAAAGGAAAACAATTCAAAGAGTATCACAAACTGCATGAAGAAAAACAATCACAATCATTTAAGTTAGAACAAACCACCAATATCCCAAACTACAATGTATCACACATAGATAGTAGTAGTTATATGGGGTTTCTAACAAAAAATAGAAATGGAATTATTTTGTGCAAAGCAGATGCTGTTTAGATTTCAAAGATGCTGCTTTTCCTTATAAATGTATCTTCAGAATGGGGAGTGTGAATATAAGATATGAGCTGTTTAGGTTTTAGGTATGTTAAATAGGAATTGTGATCATGGTACTTTTAAATGCCTTTTAGTAGGCATGCCTTCAGGTCATGATGCCCCCTAAGGAAATCAGTTTGTATTTAAGAAACAAGAAATATCCCATAGAAGGCAATAAAATCTAAAGTTAATTTTGGAAATGGGTTATTCATCTTTTTCACGATTAACTTCACTGAGTTAAATGTTTATTATGAAAAATAAATACCCATTTATGGGGTTTTATACCCATTTATTTGGTTATATTGTCTTAAGGTTCTGATTAATATTGATTTTGCATTTTCGTTTACCGTAATGCCCTTCTTATATTAACTGTGCACTGTTATGGTGAATCAAGCCATTGTGCCACTCCCACTTGTATCTATGGTATGATTTGCACCCTTGCACATGTATTACATTCATTTGTATGTGCAATTTGGGTTTAGGGCAGTATTTTTTCAATTGTTTTCTCAGTTGATAAATTCTGTGTTAGATTTGTAATGGGTAAATTAGGACAAATTCATTTCAAATTCAAGGTGTGTCCAATTCCAGCTAATCAGAACACATTATTTCATATAATTGCATTGCATTATCTGATCAACAACAAAACAACAACAACAACAACAACAACAACAACAACAACAAAATCTATAAACAGTAAGTGCTTATGTCAAGTGGTTAGTGTTGACTAAATGTCAAACTTATGAAATTGATGTTAGTGTTGACCTAGTTAACCCTTGCAGAAAAGTTTCCTTGCAAAAATCACATCTGTTTCTTTATACAACTGTTTATATCTTCTTTTCTGGTAATCACTGGTAATGTTGTCAGAATGAAGGCAATTAATAACATAATTATTTAATTCATATACTTTGATAATTTGACATTTTGAAGTCATAAAATCTTTTTCAATTTCAGATGTCAGGATCACATTAAGTTTTTCCTTGACCTTGAAAGGCCTGAGGTTAGTGAGAAGACCACCTGGAATGAACAGGTATGTAGCACCAATCACAGTGGCTAGTATCCGGAGAAAGTAACGGCAGTGAATTGTTTGTCTGCCATCATGCAATTCACGACACTGTCGTATCCTAAGTGGTAGAATACATTGTTATGTCACCACCAGAAGTGGTGTCATAAGTCTCCAATTTTTTTGTGGCGGCAGTTGGTGTTTGGCATTCAACGGTTGGTGTTTGGCTTTCTGTGTGTAACAAATGGCAGGTGATGACATTTTGCAGGTTATTGCCTCGTTGGATCTTGGTGTCAACTCATGGTGTAGAAACTGTATATATCAGATTGCAGAGTGACTGTGTCATACACTCTTGGCCTAAATTTAAATGAGCACTTGGATATCCCTACCATTTATACTCTTCATATGTCTTCACATTACATGTTGAGGTTGTAGTAACACTACAATGTATTTGTGAACTGCTTTATAAAGTACATTTCTCGAAGTACTATCACTCCCAGTCTAATTTTTGTGAAAGTCAATTGAATTCCAGTTTTAGAACTTAAATGTGAATGCCAAAATATATCTCAATATGATACTTTTAGTTGCTCCATGCACTGGATGCAGTATTACTTTAGGATAGGTTTTACTGGATATCAATTTGGAAACAACATAAACCCATATTTGGATCATGATTTGTTGGTGTTATAGGCTATTACATTAAAGTAACCACATTGTCTATATTAGATATCTCCCAAAGGGCTCCTTAACCAAACATATGTTATTGACCTGACATAAATCTCCCCTTGAACTTAAGGTATATGACTTCTCACCAAGGAGCCATACATTCATAATACAAGGCCTATTAAATGAAAATGAAATGTCAACTAAATATTACTAAATCTTACATGATGAGGACTATATTTCTCTATGGATGGATAAACCCATTAAAATGCAATGACTGGCACTTGATCGAATTCTGCAAATTTCCATTTTGATCAGTCTGATGATATACTCTTATAATAATGTATAGCTCTCTGTTTTTGAAAGGTTCAAACAATTTGAAAAGTCACATTTGAAAACATTCCATATTTTTATGTCACCACCACAAGTGGTGACATATTGTTTTAGTCTCCAACTTTGTTTGTGGACAGTGTTCAGTGATTGGTGTTTGGATTTGGTAGTTGGTGTTCATCTGTCAGTATTCAGCAGTTGATGTCTGTAACAAATGGTAGGTAGTGACATTTTGCATTTTAATGCCTTGTTTCTATTTTGTCCCATGTTTGCTAATGTTCTTAGATTCAGGGAATGTATATGGCATGAAATTGAAATGATACAGCATCCCTGCTTAGTCAATAACAAAAGAGACTTTCACATTCAGATTTTTTAACAAAGGAAGTCAGCAACCTTGTAATCAGTACTGCAATCTTGATTATCAGAGTACTGCAATCTTGATTATCAGTACTGCAATCTTGATTATCAGTACTGCAATCTTGATTATCAGTACTGCAATCTTGATTATCAGTACTGCAATCTTGATTTTCAGTACTGCAATCTTGAATATCAGTACTGCAATCTAGATTATCAGTACTGCAATCTTGATTTTCAGTACTGCAATCTTGATTATCAGTACTGCAATCTTGATTATCAGTACTGCAATCTTGATTTTCAGTACTGCAATCTTGAATATCAGTACTGCAATCTTGATTATCAGTACTGCAATCTTGATTATCAGTACTGCAATCTTGATTTTCAGTACTGCAATCTAGATTATCAGTACTGCAATCTTGATTATCAGTACTGCAATCTTGATTATCAGTAACGCAATCTTGATTTTCAGTACTGCAATCTAGATTATCAGTACTACAATCTAGATTATCAGTACTGCAATCTTGATTATCAATACTGCAATCTTGATTATCAGAGTACTGCAATCTTGATTATCAGTACTGCAATCTTGATTATCAGTACTGCAATCTTGATTTTCAGTACTGCAATCTAGATTATCAGTACTACAATCTAGATTATCAGTACTGCAATCTTGATTATCAGTATTGCAATCTTGATTATTAGTTCTGCAATCTTGATTATCAGAGAACAGTGGTTACTGCATCCTTGTGTGTACATTACAGTCACCCTCTTGGAGGTCAGTTACTACTAACTACATATTAAGATAAATGTTCAGTAAAATATGTACAAGTGGAAAACTTTCAGTACCTCAAAATAGGGGAGATGTTCCACTTACAGAGGTTTATTTTATATTGATGAAGTTGAGACTTGGGAAAGTGTCCCAATCATGGAGGTGCACAACTTATAGAGGTGTTTCACTTTACAGATTTTACTGTTAATGATTGTTTACTTGTTGTAGGTGTGTGGGAACATCTCTATGATACAGAGAAAGTATTACTCCTCCGCCCGAAGTATGGTCTTTGAGTTCCATACAGACAACATAATCACTAATAATACAGGCTTCAGGGGAAAATTCAAATTTATAGATCAAAGTAAGTTCATATACTGAGAAGTTATATTTATTGATTGCTAATTATATATTAATTAAATATATATACAAATAATTATTATTATATAGAGGTCATCATTTGAGAAAAACACAAATTAATGAATTGAAATTGTTAAAAACCCATCATATCTGTATTTTAATATTGGATATATATAGATGGCAAGAATCATTGTTTCTTTTTACATAAAACTAGGGGGGTACTGCAATGTTGATTAAGGAGTAGCAACCAGGTAGGGTTCATTAGGGTGAGGCAGTCTATGAAGTCATTTTCACAAAAAAACGTCATTGATATTTTACCCAGCTCCTAAGTGCTAGCCAGTTATAATTCAAGATAAGCAGTGTGTAAAGGCTTGAGACAATGGGGAATTTACTTAAAGAGGGAATATGATGAAAAGTCTGGTCATCAGTTCTGGTGAGCTGGTCATATCAAATATAATATACTCAATGGATGCCATAACAACATTTTTATCACGCTTTGGAAAAGTGTTATATTGCCGCCATCTTGTCTTAAATTGAGTTCTTTATTGAAAGAGAAATGAGATGGACATTTATAGCCACCATTTTTTGTGACGTGCATTTGGCATTGGCATTTTGCTATGGCATCTGTCACCTTGTTAACAATTGTCTTAACAGTTGGGAATGTAAGTTCATCTGGTATTCTTGTACATGTAAGCTTGAATGGTTCATGGTTGCATTTGTCCCTGTTACTAAATATAACATGGACCAAAATGACTCTTTCCCCATCAATTTATTTCAGTATTCAAATTCCAATGCAGGTGTACCATATGCTCAATGGATAGAACATCGTCACTTGAAAGGCAAAGATGAAAACCTTATGTCATTGGTCTTGTTTAGTAATTCAATGTTTTCTCCATCATCTGTGAAAATTTCAATGTGATTGAATAAAGTATGAATGATAATAGCAGTTTTTGCTTACTTTCTGATCGAGCCTCATAATGACAAAATTTAATCTGAGACACCCAGTGGGGCCTTATTCAACAACCACATCCGTTTTCATCATCCATTTATTTCAGTATTCATATTACTACACATGTATACGGTTTAAGAACATCATTGGCAAAATACCATTCACGAATGTAATATGGTGTAATCTGACTTTCCCCTCGGGAGCCTCATTTAGTATTTCTTATACGATAATACAAGTGCCGGTGAGCCATAATGATTTGGTGAAGTGTTTCTCTGTTTCTTAATACCTCTTTATACCTTGTGGTATTGAGTCGATTATGGTAGTTGCTTCATCTGAAAGCCCTCAAAGAACTCTGTGTAAAATAGCTGTCTATTATGGAACCAAATTGAGAGTTACTGTAATAGTAATGAAGAGAATATCAGGGAGCTGCATACTCATTCACCAATGTGCTTTTCAATTACAAGTTGGTATCATTGGACATTATTCCATTTAGAAACAAACAATCATCTGATTTCATCTGGAATCTCATTAGTTTTGTTTCAGTTTATATGTACATGTACTCAGAAGTCTTGGAACCTGAGTTTTGGGCCCTTAACGAATTGATGAACCATTTGACTTAATATGTAATTTATTTCAGAACAATTTAGAAGTGACTGTACAAAACAACACGACTCATGTAATTATATATGCACCAGTGAAAAAAATAAAAAAACAGGGAAATTTTTCTCGCCACGATATCCACAAAATTACCCAGAAGGCTCAGAGTGTCACTATCAATTTCAAGCAGGAGTCGGGGAGCGGGTGCTTCTAACATTTCACAATATTCAACTTGAGGATATCCATGGAAGGTAAGCCTTGCTGAAGATATGACAGTAAAACCTGTGTAAGTGGAACACAGGTAGCACCTCATAATAGTGTTCCATTTGGAAGGTGTTCCAATGACATTGGTTCATTTTGAATTAAGATAATGGGTAATATTCCAAAAAACATCCCAGGCCCGTAGTAGCCAGGATTTGCCAGGGGGGGTTCAGTTTTCAAAAATTTCCAGGGAGGGTTCACATTTGACAATTTTGGCCCAAATATGGCTAAAATCACTTGAGAAGTGCTCAAAATGGTGAAAAACTGCATGATTTTGAAAGACTTTTTGGCCAGGGGGGGTTCGCCCGAACCCTGCGAAACCCCCCTGGCTATGGGCCTGCATCCCTAGTACATAGTGTAAGTAAACATTCTTCCAAAGCTTTCTCGGTAGTTGTTTGGTACTTTCATAAGCAGTCCAATATTCCTAGAAGTCATCCAGTCTCACCTGGAAGTATTAATTAAACGGAACAAATGGTTGTTAAAAAACACATAGATGCTCTAACAGTTCATATAATGCAGACCATTATATATTTCAGCTGTTCCCATAGCCCTGATAAGGTAACAGTAATAGATGGAATTACTGACAATGACCCTGTTGTGGCTGAGTTCTGCAGGACACATAACCAAGAAGAGATCAGCTCCACAGGTGAGCAGGACATTGTACCAATTGAAAGGGCTAATCATAATCAAGAGGGAAAATGACACAGAATCCAAAGATGAACCTATTTACAGTCATACAAAGTTGTATGCGAGAGCGACCTCTTTTTAGAGGTTATGTCACTATGACGTGAAATATGCCTGAGTTCTCCCAATATAGGCCGACCTTGGGAGGCTCTATATTTGGGCAAGAACGAAGGCATATTTCACGTCATAGTGACATAACTGATGTATTACATGCCTTTGTTCCCATGGTTACTTTGTATCAATGACGTGACGTCATGATATTATCATGGTTATTAAAGAAATCTAATATCAAAACGAGGTAAGCGGGCTATATCGGGGTAATCGGGCAATATCGGTGGATATAGCTCGCTAACTTTCCCATTGACTTCCATACAAATGCTTCGCTAGGTATGTAATACTAACTAATACAAAACTTAATCACATGCAATAATACTGCGAAAATAACTGATATGAATACTATTTTAAGAACCTAATATCAAAATAAGCCAAAGGTTAAAACATCATATTCATCTATGGTCAATATTTTTTGACATTATCACTCCAGAAATACTAGTTGATTTTAAATTATAATATTGAAGAAAATATAAGGAATGCATGATAGCTAAGGTTAAGGATCATCAATCAATTCCTCATATTATTAACCATAATTTGGAAAGAATTTAATCACTTAAGTATTAAAAGTGTAATTCTGGTAAAAGTGTAATTCAGAAAAACTTGAATATGCCAACTGGTGCCTTTTTGTTGTAAATAAATTAAATACAATTAACATCCAATTGTGCAGGCAAGATGGCGATTGAAATGAGCTATAAATAAAGATGGTGGTACAAAAGAGAGAAACAATATATTTCCCTCTATATAATCAGCCTCATACCTTTGATTATTTACAGGTCAAGAGATGTATGTAAAGTTTAGTGTAGATGGGAAGAGGCAGATGCAGGGTTTCTCAGCAACATATACATTCATACAAGAAGATGATAAACTTCCAACAACTGTCTCTCATCCAACAAAAAGTAAGTTGAAGTGGATCCTTTTTTAGCTTTTGTTTTGAGAATTACAATAATGGTACTGAGCCAGTAGATTGGTGAATAACCAACAAAATCTAACTACAAAATATCAACATTTTTTAATTTTTTAATTATTTTTATTGTGACTTAATTCTTTGAGGGGACCCTTTAATCATGTAAATACAGTGGACACCCTGTAGTCATTCAAAGATAGGGAACACCCTTTATTCAGGTGAATACAACGGACACCCTGTAACCATGTAAATACAGTGTATGCCCTTTATTCATTTGAATACAGTGTACACCCTGTAGTCATGTAAATACCCTATAATCATGTATATCCAGTGTACACCCTGTATTCATATATATAAGTGAATGTTTTAGTTATGTTAGTTCCAGTTGGAGGCCATGGTAAAGCAAGCACAGAGAGTAAGGGCATAAGCTACAACCCAGACAAACCACCAACTTGTGAGTATAACACTTTATTAGCTTGATTGTATCAAAGACATAGGTTTTAGGCCAATATAAAGATAGCAGCATGGTAGTATTCAAAATTAAGATTTATAATGGCTTGATTGCAGTGCCGTCAAATTCATTTTTATTGCCTTTTACTGGCTTTCAGCCTGTGGCAAAAGATGAAAAAATTTTCATTTTTATTCCCTTATACCTTACAGGAGCTTGTTTCGCAATTTTTCTTCTTGATTACTGCCATATTTTAGAGAAGTAAGGAAAGATGTGAATAAAATATGCAATTTCGAGATACAACCCTTTTTACTATGCTATACGAATGTGTACATGTAATTTAATTTCAAATTTTTTCCAATATTGCACAAATAATCATGAATTTTTACACAAAGGATCAGATAGTGCATAGTCCTTATAGTACCAGTGAAAGAATAAGAGCGAGTGTATTTACACTTTTATTTTTGAAAAAGCGCAGAGATATCGTATTAAGCATGACTGAAAATTTTGTGTGGATGATCTTCAATTTCACCGGAGGTCTACATTTCATGCATCTCTATTTTAAAAGATTAAATCATATGTTTTTGGAAACCTGCATTGCATATATTGATAGGAAGGCTACTGTATCTATTGGTTAAAAGATTCTTGTATACAGAGTATAGATGTCAGTTTCTGTATGTGTCACAATGGTGAGCTTTAGGGGGTGACATCTATTTTTGCAGAAAAGTACCAAAAAAATAACTCTTCCATGCCTTGATAGATGGAACCGACCTCCACAGTCATGTCCATGAACCCAATATGAATTATAATATAATTTGGTTAAATTGGAACATATTTAACTAGATCATTTCAGAGTTCATCATTTCGTGTTTGCATTTTCTACTTATCTAACTACTATAACAGGCCTGTCAACTGTCCCGCAATTTGCGTATTTGTCACGCATTTGCTGAAGAATTTGAAGTCACGCCAGTTTTTTTTGCAAAATACGCATTTTACCTGGTAATTGTCAAGCAAAAATATTTCTGTAGACATTTTTTCGAAATATGTTTACGATACGGTAAAAATACGAACGCCGGAAAAAAACGAACGCAATTTGTTCGGATTTGTCACGCAAATCCCGTATGTGTCACGCATGTTCATTGGAAAATTTTCGTACCTCCCTCCCCCCCCCCCCCCCCTTCCCCCCCCCCCCCCCGTAGACGATAACGCGAGCGTAGCGAGCGCGAAAAATTTGAGGTGTTCAAAGTTTGGCAAAGGTGCTCAAACTTTGGCCAAAGGTGTTTAAAAGTTGGCCAAAGGTGTTCAAAATTTGGACAAAAGTGTTCAGATTTGGACTTAGGTGTCCAACATTTTGAAGTCACTCATATTAGGTGGTCCCAAGTTGACAGCCCTGCTATAACCACTGAAAATAACTGTGATGTAATTTAACATTATTGTAATCATGGGGCTTCAACAGAAAGCCTCTTGAAAGCCCATGTTTTAATTCACCACTTCAAAACTTAATTCATAATTTACTCTAATCTTGAGAACTTTTTTATTGGTTTATACAAGGGAAAGATCAATACCCGGTGATTTCAGCGGGAAGTGGCGTTTCGTTCATTGGATGAGCTGCGCGCGCACGCATAAATGTGATTATCCAATATAATTAGGGGAGGGCTATTTGAAGTAGTTTTTGGTCTCAGGCGCGACCCAGGGCTGTTGTCTTAAGGACATTTCGTTGAAAATTAGCCATTCGGCTGATAATTGGTAAGAGTTTGCGATCTTATAATGTATAACTGTTACTCAGACACATATTTTGACACGATTCTGTTGGAAATAAGCTTTGAACCGAGAGATATTCACGATTGATATGCACATTTTTGATTGTGCCATTGCTTTTCCATTGCACAATCCATGTATTGATAGAAGAAACATTAATAATGCAGATTGGTTTACCTTCAATACATGGCAGACACTACATATCGGTCTATTAATACCAGTTTGTGCCTTAAATAGTTTTATATTTCCATCCACGGCCTGGAGCCTGGGTGTGTTTGTCTTAGTATGTGTATGCTTGTGCATGGACTTCTAATCACTAGAAGAATTTAACATGATGCAAACTCGACATTATAACTCATGCTGTAACATTTTGACTTCGCTGGAAAACAATAGGAATTATTTTTCTTGCCAATCAATCATGAATCACAATCAAAATTTCAGAATGATCAATCAGGCAATGGTCCAAATCAAGTTATAACATTATATGATATTTAGCAAGAAGTCCGGTAGAAATACAGAATATTTAAACATCAAAGCTGAAAGTTAAAAGCTAATCTGTCAATTTTCTGTCTGCAAAAGAGCGTCCCAAGAGCGTTTACATTTGACACAATAACAGACTGAGGCTTTGAAATCTAGGATTCCCCAGGAAAATATGACGTCATACTAATTAGCATAAGGATTTCCCTATTGGTGTGGGTCGAGCCTTGTTGAAAACACAATCCATAAATACATGCTAATTTCTAAGGAGATAGGAAGTGTATAACGTGTTTATCGATTTTGTTTAAAGATTTAATCAATTATCAAATTGTTTAAGTGGATAAAGTGGTCACACTTGCTTCAATTCATAGCGAAATCGACGGATAGAAACTGACCGAATTCCCGATATCCTACCCCGTATTACTGTAGGCTATAAGCACAGTGACCTACAGAGGGCGCTATCACAAACAAGTACTGGACGAACCGATAAATTCCCGGGTATTGTAACGCCCTTGGTTTATTCAAGACATTCCCAGGTAATCAGATATGTTTAGTTTGTTTTGTCTTTTAGAAATGCATTTTGTTTTATGAAACTTACTCCATATGCCTTACATAAATCTAGCAGACATATGCAGTGTATGATATAAGCTTCTGGCATAAAGGATATATCTACATGATTGACATAGTATAGATTTGAAGCAATACGAAAAATCTAAAATGGAACATTTGAAAAAAGTACATGCCATTTCAACTTTGGGACGCCATTAATATTCTAACATTTCACCCTGTTGATTAACCATAAAAACCATAGAGATACAATAATGCGATTACATAGGCTCCTCCTTGGCTGACTTTGAGAGTTCATAACGAGGAACTATAGTCATATTTAGCTTGTTCCGTCTCAGAGGAGTGCCACTTAGTTCATTAATGGGCATCATGACTTTAGTATCATTAATGTTTTCCTTCCTGAATCATGAATAGTACACTGTGAATCCATGAGTTATGGTAACCATGTTGTTCATCAACCTTTTGACTCTTAAAACTAGACTGTTGAAAAGGGTTTGGAACCATATTTATACCAGTGTTATGTCCGCATCAAGAAGGGAGGACTTCTGTAACCATTTGCAATAAAAGGTGATAACATTTTGATTTTTTTACGTATTCTGCGGCCTCATCACGTCAGTGGACAGGATATTCCCTTCGGAAAATAGTTTGCACTATTTCCCTCAATTGCAGTCACCATTTGTATATTGTTAATACCCTGCACTGTCAGATTGATACTGTTTATTACTATCTGAAATAAATACAACATGCAAGATTCAATTTCATAAAACTAGCAAACATTCGCCATTGTTACATAGAATTTAGTTAAAACATTGTTAGATTTTATTCGTTGTTACAAGGTTGTCATTATTTCTAGATAGGTTCAATACTTAGTTAAAGTATCCGATGATCCAAAAAAGAAGACCAATCTTCTTTAATTTAATTAGAACTGGAGTGGCCCATTAGTAGTGTTCAGAACAAAAAAACAAATTGGCACCACTAAAATACATGTACTTTTATGAAACTTTAAACCTTTTTAGTACAATAATATGAGTTGGCGGCATAGTGATGTCCATTGACTCTGCTGTTTCTTTCTACTTGATTGTCAGCTTACCATTTATATCATCTTTGATTGAAATTGCATGTTTTTAATGTACTAAGTAAATATTCACATGGAGAGTACTGTACATGTATTCTAGGTTTTTCCATCATTCCATACATGCACGTCATCCCACATACCAGACATTTATTTCACTTGTCAGTTATCGCATGCTGTTGTCAGAGCATTCCACATTACGTCAATTTTGTGTCTACAATTTCTGGTCGTGTCAAGTTGTTTTGGAAGCCAAAATCCGCAATTCTCTCTCCCTGCTTGTATTGTTTAAACAGTATTTTGCCTTTGCATATTGTACCTGATGTAATAGACATATTATAGACATATTATCTTATAACACACTTATTCATGGTGAATGTACATTTTGTCGTGTTTTTGATTTCTTTTTCTGCAAGTGTTTTGGGACAGTTATTGGTTTATTATTACAGACTGTAAGAAGACAGGCCAAAACCCCAACCAAGACATCCTATTATTGCATGTGAAAAACATGTAGGTTTTAATGCTTTATATGCGTATCGTATACCCGTTCTGGCAGAAGGTTGCAGTGTTAATAGGGTTTAGACAGGATTAATTTAAAAATGTCAAAAATGGGTGTTATAATTTTTGAGAAGCTGTTGAATAAACTTAATGGTCCCCATGAGCTAGAAAGGTCAACTGACAAAGTAAAAAAAAAAGCTAAAAATGAAACCATTAAATTTAAAGGTTGAACGTGTTATTTAATTTGTATGTATGCAAAAATTGTTCTTTTAATAACGTTAAACTCTCATCTCCTCCAGATTATTGCAGAGTAAATGTTAACCAATGATGATGTCGATTATCCCAGCATTCCCCAAAGACACATTATCTCATTTTTACAGAGAACGTTTTCTGATGAAGAAAAATTCCTCCAGTCTCACATCTAAGGGGCCCCTCTAAGGACATGTGACCTTTACCATTGTAATCTTTTCTTAGATGGAATTTTGAGTTAATGAAGTAAATCACCCAAAGCCACCATATTCCAGCTTTGGTTAAGTTTTTGGTTTTTAAAACATTTTGACATGATATAAAGGGATAATAAGGATTAATAAGGGATATTAATTTGATGTAATTTTTACACTAAAATAAATATTTCCTT